AGCTGTCCAATAAACCAGATATACACTAATGCCATGCTATGACAGTTCTAATTATGAATCACAGCTGACACTACAGTAACATTGCTTTAAAAATCTCATGAGAATTTTTACAATCAAAACATAAAACTGCCACTAGTACAGAGACTGTACGAATAGACAAATAAACAAGTATTAAATATTTTGCACAAGGCCTGAGTTCACTATAACACATTTTGATTTACAACTTCATCTCAAAAATCTGTACAGCAGTTAGAACTGTTTCAGAGAACTTAAAGACAATACAACCTCAGGGGCTTATTTATTCTGGTGATACAAGTGTGAGGCCTGGAAGGCAAGAGGATTTGGTGTATGAACCCAAGGTTTTACTGCCTTGTGTAATTTCCTTATAAAGCAGTCAAAACCTCATGGAAAGTAAGGTACAAGGCAGGACCTCATTTGAAAATCATCTGAAATTCTCCAGATAGGTTTCCTCACAGCTATTTCAGAGTAAAAGCTCACAATGAGTATATAAAATGCAGCATATCTCTTAACAAAGAACAAAAAGGGGTCACATATACAACAGGGTATTTTTTTCTGTGCTCCCCCTCCCTATATTTCTTTCATTGAAAATGGCACAAATCAGTGATATCCCACCTACTCCCAATAAAAAAAAAATTCCTCATCAATAAACTAAGGTCACTCTAAAGTCCAAAAACTTCATCTGCAGTGAGAGATCCAGTGTCCATATACTTATGTTTTAAAAATTCTCCTTTTCCGCACAAGTCACGTAGATGTAGGCAGACTAAGCATGTGAATTTCTAATAGATAACAAAAGTATCATATAATTGTTAGCCTGTATGGAAGCCTTGTGGAAATTGACTCACATCTAACTTGTCATTTAATCTTTGCTCTTTTGGTGCAATTGAACCGGAAATCTAAAATCCTGTAATCTATATACACACTTACTTACCTATCTACAGACATAGATTACTTTGTAACAGGGGTTATAATACAAAAGTTAACATACATTTTTCTTACTTTAAAAGGCCATCGGGATATTTGTTCAAGTTCCACATAAATGTGAAACAGGTGTTGCTAAACAGACAAAACTTAACAGAAAAGGAAAGTTTTAAATAATAAGGCTTGAAATGTTGTGCACCTATCCATCCAAAAACTCAGCCTTTTACTTGGGGTACTCAGCATCTATGCAGACCTGTAAGGCCACAACTTCCCCAAGACATTTCTAATTCACATCACCACAGACAGGCAGATGTAGCACCGTCATTAAAACAAACCAGGGTATTCTACCCACATTCCCAGTACAATTTCTCTCCCCATCTCCCAGATAATCGGTGGACTCCTTTACCTTCCAAAAGACTCCTCTGGTACTGCTGTCCTCCTGCGTAAGCAGGTTCCACGGGTTGTTCTTTGCCTTATTCATGACACTCGTGTGATGAAAAGGAGCAAAATCTGCTCCCTCCTCCATCCTCAAAACGACACTTGGGTCGTCTCACTCTCCATTTCTCTCCTCTTGAGAGAGGCAGACCTAGCGGCTTCTAAACTAATCTGTAATTCAGTGGTTTCAAGGTCCTTGTTCATCAGCCCCAGCAGAGGTTTTTTCAAGCTTCTTTAATACAGTCTTTCCATCTAGCAGGATTAGATTATTTTCTAAGACTGAGTTTTCAGAGAATGCTTCAGAGACTTTCATACTTAAAACCACATGGAACCCAACAGTTCCAATACGGAAAAGATTGCTGTCGTGGTGCAAGAGCATTCATGTAGTGTACACCAGAGCAGCCAAAGGACAACTGACGATTGTAATTAAGATGTGCAGCTATTTCCACTTCATTTCTCTTTTTATAGTAAACATTATATATATATATACATACATATATATATATAAAAAAATTAAATAGGAACTTGCTCCCTTGTCCTCTTTACCCCTCCTTTACAACTGAATGGAAAGTAAGCCAGGTGGGCTGGGCAGTTCAGCCCAGACTCAGCTCTAATTTCAACAGCGGAATCTGCTCGCAATGGCTGAGCACAGCAGGTGCACAGGGTGGAGGCTGTGAGGTGATGATACAACCTGCCACGCTTCCATATTTTTTCCTTTAAATTAGGTTGAATACAAAGGGCAGAAATTTTATGTAATTTACAGTGTTGTTCAAGGCACTGTGATAAGAACTTATTTGATAGCAGGTTACTTTCTCAGTAACAGAATTTGCAATTTCTTAATCAAATACCAATTTCAAACCTGTGTTCTCCATCTTGCTTCGCATTAGGGCTAGACAGTCCCTCTGTCTGAGGCCAAGTTAGATGTAACACTGCTTTCTGTCCATGTCCAGAAACAGGAGACCCCTGGAATGCCCAATTTCATAATACTCTCCCTTTCTCCTGCTCTTTCCCCAACAACAACCTGGACATGAAGTACAACTGTTGCTCTCAGACAACGGCATTTACTCTGGCCACAACATGAGTCCTCCAGCCTCTTGCAGGGCCTCAGAATGATGACTTGGAAGCGGAGAGATCAAGTGGACAAGGCTTCCTAAAAAAAACACTATTGTAGCAGGAGCCAAGTGGCGCATGGCCTTGGTGAAGTACCTCTTGCAACTCCTCTTTCCTTTAAGTTAGGAAGAAATAATTAGAGAACTTGACACACCCAGTTTCCTGCCACACTAAGCAGGAAGCATCTACAAGGAAGAGGGATTTGACCCTCTGATTTTAACTGAAGTTATGTTTTTCTGTTTTATTTTTAAATAACTGAAAAATTTTGTTATAACTTTCATAAGCACCTTTTTCAGGTTTCTTTGTTGTTATTCTTCTACTCTGGTCACTCTGAAAATTACAGCAAGCAACAGAAATCAAAATCATGTTCTCAAATATAAGTACAAAACCCATCATATTTCTTGAGCCACATAAAGTTCTTGTTGCATCACATTACCTCTGTATAGAAGAGCCTCTCTTGATTTGAAATTGTGGCATTTTTTTTTACTTTGTTCTTACAAATTAGATTATGTTCTCAGACAGGCCATGCCAAAAGCACATATCCCAAGCCCCACAGTTTGAGAGGTCTAGCATATAAATTTTTTTCAGGTAATTTTCCCTCCAACAGGTTAAACTGAAATCCAGTTCTGAAAAGCCCCCAGTCCAGGGGGATCAGGGACTGAAACCCCAGATCAGGACACTGACATTTAAGACTGCCTTTACCATGGATATATTAATTTAATACATTGTAGAGTACTAAGAGATGTTACTTTTAATATAACTTATTTTCCAAATAATTTAGAGGAATACAGATTCAAGTAATTCTTCAAAGGTTTGCCTAAGTTACCCTAACTAAATGTAGCTTTCAAAAGTTGACATAACAGAAGACATTAGTGTGACAGAATACAGAGTACTAGTAACCAAAAATGAACTTAAATAGTTTAACAGTTCTAGTATTGTCTCAAGCTTACACAGATATATCAACATAACCTACAATGCTTACCATGAATATTAACATCACATAAGCATCACAATGTGTTAGGTATTGTTTTTTAAACCACAATTTCACTGGTCCCAGGAATTTTGAAGTAGTAGGACTAAGGCAGCAGCTATAATAGATAAACAATTCTTTAAGAAATATGCTTAATGCTTACTGCTTAGAACCATGGAAATATAACAAAATACAAATCACATTTACAGCATAAGGCGCTTTGGTTTCTTAAGCAGCAAATGAAAGAACAATTTCTTCAGTGAAAGGCTTTGAAAAATAAAGCGTGTAGGCTTTCCATAAAAATGGTAACTAGTTCTTTCCTTCTCAAAATAGCCGGCTAGAATCTTCAAAGTATCATTTAAGAAAGCTCTTGAAATTCCTAGGAAAGAAGTTAAAAGCCAACAGTAGTATCTGACAGAGCAGAGATTCTATCACTGGCAAGCTGAACACACACCTTCTGGGAAGCAGAAGAAACTACTGTTTGGTTTTCTGGAGAGCTTTATTAAGTTTGGAGTAATATAATAAAAAGGAGCTGAAATACCTGTGTATTTACCATATATTCTAGAGCTTACAAATCTGTATTTGAGAACTCGCTTCATGTTCATCTATCCTTCATAAGGACTTGAGTTAAAATAAAATGAAATAGTTTATTCAAGGCAATTGATGGCAGTCTCCTTTTTCACACAACCACGTGCAATTTGTATAAGGCAATCCTTTTCCATCTTCCCAACACAGCCAAATCTATGGATTAATTCAAGATATTTCTGTGTAACTAAACCACGTGTGTATAGTTACAAAGAATTGCTTAGTTACATAGTTGGGGCAGTCAACATCTAAATTTTACAGAGAACATTCTTTTTAGGAGATTCCATAACTACTCATATTCTTTTTTTCACACCAGTTAGAAGCAGTATCAAATTAGCCAAAACACTGGAATAATGTGATTGTGTCACCACATGTATTTTAAAATCCTGCTTAAGGGGTATGCTGCTTTTGCTATGTGGCTGGTGACAAGGATCTGGCCTTATAAAACAGGTTGTAAACCAGCACGACCATTGGAGCTGTGTTCTTACTCTGTCCCAAACTTGCACAAAATTTTAAAACAAATTCTTATGCCTCCTGAATCTTGCTGTAGTTTACTACCACATTAATTTCAATTATCTTATAAGAGAAGCAATACAAAGTATTTTCTCTTCTTAGCCTTTTACAGTTACTGGTTAGAGATCTTTCTAAGTAACATGGCTAGCAAAACTTTTTCAGGCTGCATAAGAACTGACATTTTGCAAACTGTCATATGGCACAATGACAGTCTGTGTCAAATTCAGGCAACACAAATAATCAATACGAATTTAGCAGACACTGAAAGAACTGGGCTGCAGTTTCATGTTCACTGGCGTTATTAACCCCTAAGCATTTTTGCTGAATTTAAGAAACAAAATTTTGTACAAAATTTCATAGGAGTTGACTAAGCATACTTTTGAATAATTTTGAAATACTTTGCTGCTTCATTTTCGATAAATGTAGACATCCTACCTTCAGTGCTCTGATGTTCAGTAAAGAGACAGGAAATCTTTAGCATGTAAGATGACTTTGCACTTACACAATTCGACTGCAGTACCATGTCTTCTGCCAAAATCACATCTTTATTCCAGTACAAAAGTGTTTACCTTGCTGGGTTGGAAGTTTCCCCCAGTCACGCTTTTACTAAGCAAAAAAAGATGTTAATCAGCTTATCCATGATCCAAATTTCATCGATCTTTGAAAGAAGAAAACAAGACATTTTACCCAAAAAGATCTTTTAAGTCATTACTAGCTGAGCTGCTGTTTGTCATTGTGTTTGCTGGTTGTGCAAAGTTCTGAGGAGCAAAGAAAGGATTACCCTGTATACCAAAGCTGTGTTGTCCAATCATGTTCATCTGAGGTGCCAAGACTGAACTGCTCGTGCCTGGAGACCCTTGCGGGGGTACAAACTGATTAACCCACTGGCTTGATTTCTGTTGAGCCAACTGTTTCATACTAACTTTGGGTTTTTGAGGACCAAAAAGATTATCTAAAGCAGACATATCTGGGGGTTTGTTTTGCTGTGTCAGTGGAGAGACTGCAGATGCAGCATTCATAGGACTGTAATTTGGCATATTGGCAGTTGGTACAATGCTCATCTTTGTTGTTGCTGATGCACTTGGACCACTGAAGAAATTCTGAGTGGTGGGACCAGCTCCCATACCGAATCCAGCAGTCTGAAAACCCATATTCGTATTTAGTCCGTTTGTTACATTTCTCTTTGTGTTGTCAATAGGTGATGAAAATCCCATTCCAACAACCATAGAAGGGACAGCAGAGAAGCTGGTTGAAGATGCAACTTTAGCTTTGTTGATAGAATGGCTAGTCAAAGATGACATATTATCTATCAAGGTATCCGTCAAGTCTCTTGTCTGCAAAATACATAAAATGCAGTTAAATGCCTTTCCTCTACAAACACTCTAGCAATAGTCTTTATCATTGTTCGTGCAGAAGTACCATTCTTTTTTCAGAAATGAGAATTTACTGTATGGAACTGGGCATGAAATGTAATTATGCACAAAGCAAATAGGTTATTCTCATTCTTTGCTACTTAGAACTAATTGTTATGCAGCTTTAATTTGAAAACTAAGACTATACACACAGTACTACTGAGACATCTACTTACATGCCCCATTCCTGTCCCCAAGCCCTTTACAAATTTAGTTAATAAATTCTTCAGAGCAAAACGTTTTTTAGTATGTGCTTTTTCCTTATCTAGAACAATGGCCTTCCAATAATTACTCCTTTAGAAACTCCTGCAATTTAAAAAGTGGGAAATACTGCTAATGATGCAAATGGAAGGCAGATTAAACTTTATTTTAGTTTTTCTCAGCTGTGCCATTGTATCCGTGAAAACAAAGGTGACTCACAGAAGCAAAAAAATATTAAATGCATAAAGCACTTGAAAGGAAAAAGCATCACAGCTCCAATGGAAACAGTGCAGTAATCTGTTCTTTCTCACCTGCTTCACTGGAGGTGTTACTGCAGTTGCTTGTGGCTTAAGCGGTTGCTGGCTTTTCAGTTTCTGTGCCTGTTCTTGTTCTTTAGCTAACTTTTGCTTCTCTTCTAGTGTAAGTGATGCCTTTAGACGAGAAAGAACTGACACTAAGTTGCACACAATGGTTATTCTTACATCGATATTTTTATTTCATAAATAGCACCGTTGTTTCAGTATGTGGTAGAACAGTACATATTACTTATACAAAAGAGAAAGTGGGTAAGCACAAAATCTATTATAATATTTATCATATTGCTAAAACGTACTTAAAGCAAATAAATACCATATTAAAAGTAGCATAATTAAAAATTTGAGCAGATCTCAAATCAAGAGGTGTTACAACAAAATCATTTCAGTTTTGTCTTCTTAATGTTGGGCATAAGAAAAAGTGTTCTGCACGGTTTTTGTTTTTATACAGTTACCAACTGGCACTTGATGTAGAACTGCAACTGTCCATGGAGTTGCAAAGGGAATTTTATTTTAAGATTGCTTAGGAGGCTTTTCAGGATTTTAACTCTATTTTTGCTAATGATGAAGAAGAAAATAATAAAATCATTCCTCCTTGGTCTAAAATTAGTGAGAGGGTTCAGGTAACTAGAAATGGAAATAATAAAATATACAGATTCTGGGGAGCTATTTACATAATTAATAGCATGAATTTTACAGTAGTTTATGCTTATGTTTAATATTATGTCATCATGCTTTTTCTTTGCTTTTTATATTTATCCCCATATTGACTGCTCATTTTCACTTAACTTTGAATTGTACAGTAAATGTTAGTCTCTGCTACTACATGAAATTCTGCATTTTATCTTCATCTCTCTTTTTAATGTTATCATAAAGTTGCCTATTTTCATTTTCCTATCTAAATGCACTGCTGAAGTTTCAGTTTCTTTGAAATCTAGAATCAAGGAGAAAGAAAATGACCAAATATTTATAATCCTAATTGCTGCATACTTTGTACAAACCTATTTTCAAGGAAAGGCTTTCACAGAAATTCAAGGATATATCGGAACATTTTTTGGTGGGCCTTCACATGTGAATATGTGTTGTGCTATACAAAAGCAGTAAGTTTTTCTTTTAAAGGTTTAAATATTATAAATATTTACACACACTCTTTTTATGCAACTGTACCAGCCTTGTATTAGACAGATGGGTGTAACAAGATTCCAAAACAAAGTAAAACACACCTTTTTCTGTTTTGATGACATCTCATTCTCTTTACTGTCAGATCCACTAGTTAGAAGGTCAGTTCCACTAGAGTTAAATACCTTGTCAATCTGTTTAAGTTCAAAGAAATGAAACTTAGTCATTTGTAGTGTTGTAATTTAAGGTAACATAAATATTGACCAAGCAAATTTAAATTTCAAATTTCTGTATGTCAGTAATGTGAAAAAATATTGTCGCTTACCTGATTACTTGTACTACTAGATCTTGCCTCTTCAGACACACTCATCTGGTTAGCTATATCCAAAGATCTATATAGTGCAGAGTATACATATTACAAATAGATAACTTCACAGTCACATCCACAACACTAATTCAGCAATGCAGATTACTCTTCTGCATGTAAATAACACCAAAAAAATCGCATTATGAGAGCACTGCCATTTTTATAGAAAGCCTGTAGGAGACTGGAAAATGTTAATATTCTAAATTTGAAAGGTTTCCTAATGATCATTTCACATGGTCTTAGCTCCTCCTTTTTAACGGGGTGACACAGACTTTGGGTAACCCAAGTTAATTTGACTCAAATATCACCTCACATCAGATTCCATAAAACAGGTCTAAATATCTTCAAATATCACTGTCTTCTAAAAGGCTACAATGTTTATGCTTCTTAGCAACTTAGCATATAGAAGCAAGACATGAACTGTACTAGTGGAGCTCAGTATGAACATATAATTAATTAAAAATTATTGACTCAAAATAATAAACTGTGACTGAATTGTATAAAAGTAAAGGATTTTACTCTATAAAACCATTTACATCACAATATTGTTATCATTCTAGGACTAATAAATCTTTGCTGACAACTATGCTTATTTGAGGTAGTTTTCAACTACTGAAGTAGGAATTACTTTTTTTTATTGCTATGGTTACAGTTTTCTCACATTTGCTAAAAGTTAACTGAAATTTATTCTCTGCTCACTTGTTCCTTCATACACACATAAATAAAGACTTACTTCTGTTGCTCTTGCATGACATGAAGTTGCTCAAGTTTTGTTTTATGCTCTGCCTCCAATCTACTAAGCATATCTTTTATAACACAAATAAAAGAATTGAACTGTAAAAGAAATATACAAGAAGTTTGGATTTTGCAGTGCTGGAATTCAGACTTCTATAACTTAAAAGGTAATATCTGATAAAACTTCCAATAGACAATGTCAGATAAACTGTAGAGATGTTTCATAGTCCACCTTCACTATCTTCCATTAGATACCTAACTACAAGCAGACTGTTTACTGAAACAGTGAAAAATATGTATCACTAAAAACTGGTGCAAACCAGACAAAAAACCCACACAGATCAATATTCTCAGATTAATTAAAAAACAAAAAAATCCTATGATTGCACTTCTGCATTATCTGCAACATTTACAAACAAGAGCAAGGCAAGAAACATTAAGATTGTACTTTAGCTTTTAATTTGATTTGTAATTATGTTAGTAGCTAACCACTTCTGCAGGATATTTAGAAGGTGATTGTATTTATTTTGGAATTTTATACTAGATCAGTTAAATACACTGGCAAATAACAAGCTTTAAACATACAGATACAATAATACTGGAAGGCTTTTTGGTTTTGTTTGCTTTTACAACAGACACAGACATACAGTAACATACGAATTTTCCTCTGACAACAGTTTATATCCATTCTCTGCCAATTTATCAAGTAAAATAATGCAACAGAGTTATGTTCCTACCTGATTGAGATTAAGATTGTTCTCAATACTAAGAGGAATCAGATGGGGCAATACTTTTCCCGCAAGCTGTTCTTTGGTAATTCCCAACTTCTTATGAGTAAACGTGCATTTGTAAATACCTGAGATACAACATCAAAATAGCAAAAATTGTTAAGTTTAGTAAAAAATGTGAACAAAGTAGCACTCTCTTTATGTACTGATCATCTGAACATACATTGGCTCTGTATACATGTAGGGACAAACATAATTATAAAAACCAAGTACTCATCCACAACACACACATTATGGCAAGAGGCTTTGCTAAAGTTCAGAACAAGAGGAAGTCCAAAGTAATACTTTGCAGCTACGAAACCAGATATGAGGCAATGTATTCTCCTGGTCAATTATCTGAGAATATGCATTTTGAACAGATAATGAGCAACTGAGTTACCAGAAACTGACAAACTGCCACTGAAAAATTAAGCTGCGTTAACTACAGACGTGTTCTCTCCTAGCACACGGAAGTGTCTAGGAGTAACTATCACACTGCTCTCTGATTGCATTTTACAAAGATTCTTACAGAGATGTTTGGGACTGTGTTACACATCAGATCAGAAATCATGCATAGTCTTTACCTGTTCCAAAATCAGTGAAAAAACAATCATGGCAAGCATAAGGGTTTCAGTGTTAAGCCTACAAGTTCTATAGCATTTCCGAGAGGAGGATTTCTCTGCTTAAATAGTCCACCTCTGGTGGCAAACACTAAACATACTAGCATAAAAGAAGCAGCAGCTTTCCTCACTTTCTATGGTTAGTATTAGAGCAGAGCTGTCAGCTGGGCAAAGACGGTATCATACACAAGATGGAAGGTACGATTCCAGAAGAAAAGGAGAGCCCAAGTACATAAAATTGATTTCAGCCTATCATTTCCAAACTAGGGTTCACTTATCCACTGTATCCAAGTAGAATTCATGAACAATACAACTAAAGTAAAAGATGCACTCTCTCTCATTCTCAGACAGCAAAGAGAAGTCAAAGATGCAAGGATTATGGGAAACAGGCAGCTTTAAATTAGTACTGACAGATGCCCTCTTGCTGATTTTGAGCAAATCAGAATAATGCCACCATCATATATTATTACAGTGTTTAATGAGGGCTGCTGCCAGTACAGCTCAGCTTGTTATAGTCTTCTGTCTACGACTTTGTTGCCAGTAAGAGAAGTGACCGCTGTCTTCTAGACTCGGCCATGCAGTCACACCTCTTTCTTGGCAGTGACTCTGGTCATCTGGTCTTCTTGAGCCTATTCAGGTTGTTAACATCACACATTCTGAGTGAGGCAAGCACCAGAGAGGCATTAGGAAAGCATAACTGGGAGTAAGGCCTCCCCGTTCAGAAATACCGAGACATTAAGTCATATTAGCCATTTTGTGAAACCTCACCCAGACTATGCTCCATTTCAGTGCAAAGGCAGACATGTTTGCTTAAATGTCCAACAAAATGAGTTTAATAAAACCTGCAGCAAAGAGTAGTAGATTCAGAGACAATCATTTACAGCATCTGACATGCAAGAGTGGTAAGAGAAGGCAACAGTAACATCTGAAAAGCTCCAGCAGCATCTGAAAGAAGACACACCGTACAGTCTTCCGAGGAAAACAGCCTCTCTGGCTGGGTGGGCCATACAGTCCATGCAAGTGTCACAGACCAAGAACTGCAACGCATACTCAGAACTGGACTTCGAAGACTCCAAATACAGGTACTCGTGTTCAAGAAGACTACATGTACATGTACTACATGTACAACAAATACATGTACCCGCAATACATAAGGTAACTGAACAGGGGCATACTTAAGATCCAGAAACAGGAAGTTTTTAACAGTCATTTTAGCCATACACTATGTAAACACTACCAATGATAATACAGAAAGCTTTCAGATTTACAACGTCAAAACACAAAAGACGAGACAGTTGAGAGTATTAATTACCTAAAATTCCCATTAGCACTGCAGGTTCCCTGGATGGAATTTGTTGTAGAAAAGGTAAAATATCATCAAGCACAAACCATTTATCCAAGTACTCCAAAATCTTGCCTAAGCACACTAGTGAGTTCACCCGGACCTGTGAAGTATGATAAGAATTAAACAAACTCTTTACTATGTTTTTGCATAAGAAAAAAAAAGAAAAGCCCTTACAAAACATATACTTAGAAGAAAAGAACAAAACCCTGTAAAACTACAGCCTTCATATCTGAAAATTCAAGACAAATTAAAAAGATCTTTTTGTGTCATGAAAGGAAAAACCTTGGCTTTTCTGCAGGACAAACACTATTAAAATATATTATTGTGAAACACACATCAACAATTTTTATTATTAACGCATTAAGTTGTTAACAACTTAACAACTGTTAAGAGTAAAAGTAAACTGTGCTTTTGTATTTGCAAAAAGTAAAGAAAAAATCTCAGAAAGAAATCAGAGCGATTAATGGGTTTTTCTTTAAAGACACAATGGCAGAAAAGCTGAAGTAACTAAAGGTAACAGCATTTTCTGAGGACTGAGAGATAAAATTATTACAATACTTACAGCAAGAGAAGAAGTTTGCAAACATGCATTTTTAATTCTTGGAATTAATGAATTTTTCATTGATGGGTAATCTATTAAATTGGCAAACGTGGGAATTATGTTTAGGCAAAGCTCCTAAAAAAAAAAAAAGCGCAAGTTTAAAAAGAAGCATGTATGTTTATTATAAAATTAGTACTAATATCATTCAAGATCAAAATCAGTTTAAAATGTCCTCTGAAGCTTTCTTTTTAAAAAAATATTAAGGAAATATGTTCAACGAAGCTGACCTTCATCTATCATACTCACTTAAAAACAGCTAGAACAATAAACATCATGGTATGTATCTAGACCCTTGGAAAACTGATTTCAAAAACAGTATCCATAAATTTATCATAAATATTTGGACAGTAAGAATATCCTGCATTTTTAAAAACACCTTTATACAAAAATCAACTTCTATTACATGCAACTGTAACATTTTCCTACAAAAGTCAAGCAAATCTGAGTGAATACTACCAACAGCACTGCAGCAGCTCAGTGATAGGCTAAAGGTAAAAAGGCATATCAAGATTAAATACAGTTAAGCGACAGAGAAAAAAAATACCCAGTTTCAGACCAATCTCAAAAAATAAGAGACAGCAATATTAAGTATATATCGCAAGTAAATACCTGAGTAAACTAACCACTGATGCAGGAAAAAACCTCACGCCAGGTATTCAGAAACAAAAACCTTTCTCCATAATATTGCAAAGGCTTTGCAAAGGTAAAAGTCCCATCTGCTTATCCAAATTCTTCTTTAAGAAATATTTGGTTTGTTTATCTCCCCCCACTTCTGAATGCCTTCGGGTAACTGGAATTTAATTCCAGTAGAAGAATGATTTGAAGAAAAAGAATTTCAGAAAGGTAGAGAAAGCATAAAGAGAAAAATTAAATATGGATACATAAAAATGTCACCAGGAGGTACATTAGTATGATTTTACAGCAAATCAGTTCTTCCAAGGTAACTGTCAGCACACATGTTCTTACTAGTAGGAGCTCAGAATACGCCACCTCTCACTGACTGATAAGGGCATACATGCCTGCACAGTTTCTGCTGCACAGGCAATGTAGTAGAAATGCACATCCTACTTTTTGCTATGGCGGCTAGTAAGAATTTAGGATAAGAACACCAGAACAACAGTCAAGTGGCTACTCCCTGAAAAATACGGGATATAAATTTTATTTCACTAAAACAAATTTTCTTTACTAAAACATTCATCTCTTTAAATATTCAGGAACACTACACAGCTTTGTCATTTTTTTTTTTCAAGTAAATAAACACATGAGCATACAGAAAGTTGTCATATCAGCTTAAAGAGAAAAAAATTGTTTTAAATGAATGCTGCAATTACTATACCTGGATCTGAATTGAAGGTGCTTCCAAGGCTCTATAAACCATTGGCAGAACACTGTTCTTTATTTCATCCGGGGGAGTTTTGGTTAGAAGCAAGTCCATTTTTTGCAGGAAGATCAACAAGATCTATTTAAAAGAAGGACAATTTAGAAGCGAAAAGTTTTAATTTGAGAAACATATACTTAAAATTTAAAGTATGTTGTATCATATCACAAAAACTTCAGAAGTTTTCTTGTAACTCAGTAAATGTGATCACTTACCATGTTGCTTGCCTGAAGGCATGGAAGACAAGAAACACTGACATATTATTGCATTTTAAAAACAGCAAATACAAATCAAAGAAAATACGCATGTTCTAGACTAATTCTTCTGAAATAAGAAATCATAATGGCTAAGGAGGGAGCTCTTGTTTCTATTTACAACATGGTCTTTTGTTAAAACCACCCACAGCACATTTTTATACATACATCACTGCTGAAAAAGCTAAACTTTCAAAAAACTATGCATTTGATCACAACTCCACATATAAGAGCTATATTCCATCTACATCTAGAATCAAAATAGGGACACAATGAAAAGAGTATCACAGCTACTATATGGACACAAAACACCTTTACTCTATTTCACGTGGAAATTGTATATCCTAAGACCAAAAATCCCAAACAAAAAAAATTCAGATAGCATTAATCTAAAAAGCAACACTAGAATAGCACATTTATATAGTGCGATTCACCATGTCTCATCTCAGACAGGTGAGACAACTTGCTACAGTTGACATTGACTATTCATTGATATCTAGACTCCTTTTAGAAAATATGTTAGACTAGATGGATAAACTGTGGTGAATGTCACCAAATTAACAATAAAAAGCCAAGTATTTAATCAGAGAAAAATATTTCAATTTTTAAGTCTAAACATATGTAGCAGTCAGTGCTTGTATGTCAAACAAACAGAAGAATCAAAGTGTAGAAATACAAGTGTACCAAGACCACGTTACAAGTTTCTCCCTTTCATTTGCTTTCCTTCACAGGGAAGAAAAACAAATGCTTTCAAACTGCGGCTAATGTGTGTTTTCTTATTGTATATTTATAATTACCTAAATGGTACAAACCCATTCATTCATTCATTCCATGAACACTGATTTTGATATCCCCAAATTTGGGAGAATTCGGGTGAGATGAACCAGGTCAGTTTAACATTAGATTTTATAATTATTCTTGAAAAAAGAATTTTTATTTGTCCTAAACTTGGCTTTTTGAGACCTGCATGTGCTCATAACACTGTTCTTCTCTTGTCTAGCAGCGCTATAATACTGTGGCATGACAGTTTCTATGTTAGTTAAATGTATGGTTTTGGAGAAGGATTGCTTGATTGTTTTTGCAAATTTGAAAAGGACGTGAATGAAAACTGCTATTTAATAACTAGAAAAGCTCCTTCAAAATAAGAACCAGATGTCTGAACATTTAGAAGACTGCTTTTAAGCTAAACATTGTACTATATAGTCTTTTAGATTTCAGAGAAGCAGTTCGGCTGGTTTCCACTGGCTGCCAATGTTTTTTAACTAAGCTAACAAAGCTGAATCGGTTTTGATCTCTCTTCTCTACCTGACTTCAACTAGAACGTAGTTCATGCTGTTCCAATGAACCCCTTTTATTTTTAGCTTTGTAGGGTCGTATTTAATACATTTTATCTATTTAAGTAGGAACCCAAGATGTTACAGTCACAGATGCACAGACACCATCTAATAAGCAAGCAGCAACAGTTGCACTCTAAACAATAACACTAATGATGTGCCTCATTCATTAATACAGAACGCAGTACTTGTCAGGGTATGCTCTGGTGTACTGAATTAGAATATGAATTTACAGTACTTCATATACTAACTATCTATGGATTCCCCTAGGTATAAATTAAGGGTTTGTCTACACTGGGAAGCTATGTCAGAGTAAACTAGGATGTCAATTTACAGTACACCTGTTACTCCATGCTAACTCCAAGAGTACATATGAATGAGTAATTTAACTAAATAATCCATTTTCATATTACAAATTCCCTCATACAAAGACATTGTGAACACAATTTCCCTGTGAAAGCCAAGCAACAGGCCCCTCTTACAAACCTAAAACATCCTGAGAGAGCATTTGGAAGAAACATCGGCACCTTCCCCATCCATCCCTTTCCATGAGTTACAAAAAGCCAGGAACTGGACCTTTTTGCCTTGCACAAAGACAGTCAGACCTGGAATTCTGCCTTCTGGCATTCTGAACATTTATATTTTTTTCCTGAATTCCTGTTATATTAACTTTGAAAACTCATCGTAGATTACTTAAACTTTGCCATACTAAAAAAAACCCACAGAAAAAATACTGGAATAAGCCACCTAGTACTTACTGTGCATTAAAAACATCAGCTTAAGAATTTAATATATAGTATCTAGATAGTTACAGAAAAACTTCGCAAAGCTTGTTCTTTATGAGCTGACCTCAAGTCTGCATTTTGCTTCCCTCATTTCTCAAGAAATAAACCAGCTTTTGAGCCCATTGTGCTCCAGATATGAGGCAAACTTTTTGCAGTAAGGATTGTCTCACAAATCTGATGTTAAAGGTAGAAAAACACAATGTTACCTTTTAGGATGAAACACCACAAATAAGATGGGCACTAATTTTGTGGGGTATTCTCCCCTTTCCCCCCCTCCCCAGTATAAGAGTTCTCTGATCCGGAAACCTAGAAATAAAAAGTCTAATTGTTCATTCCTACATTTATCTTGCCCCTTAAGTGCTCTGCAGAGAAATAATAGCATTCAGCAGTAACACAAGCTGAGCTGGAAGGAATGTGGAGCTGCCTTTCATCTGTGGAGGCACAATTCCTAACAGAGACAGAATTCTCAGGAGACATTATCCACATGGTGTTGACAAAAGGATGCAAACGTTTCTCTCCTTTACAGTGATGGTAATGTCTTACTACTTTTATGCATGTAAGCAACAGAAAAATTGTATTTTACTTACACATTTGTCAAATAAAATGAAACAAATTTCACAAAATTGTGCACAGCTCTCCAAGAAACAATATTTTATTATCATCAATAAACAGAACTTTTAAGAGTGTCATAGTTACAACTTTTCCACCCCATGATCCCAATGTCAGCAATCTGGATACAAGGGAAAAAAAAAGAAATCATAGGTTCAGCTACTGAGAGAATACGTGCAAATACTGTACTGTACAACCCTTCTCAGATTTGCTAGATAAGTGATAAAATGCTTACAAATATACCTCTGCTACCAACCAAACATAAGAATTGAGTGGTAAATTAAATGTTTCCTTTTTTGCTAATCTAATTTCATCTATAATTACAAATACACCCTCAGAAAACCCATCTGAAAAAGCAGGGTAGGGGCTTTGTGGATTTCCTGGAAAAAAATGTATTTGATATGAATCAAGACTGACTGCTTGGATAACTACAGAGCAGTCTGGGCAATCTGTGTGAAGCTGGAAAACGGAAATAGAACAATTAATCATTTTTCAGAGAAAAAAAACAACAAAGAGAAAAATTGTCATCTGAACAATATCAACATACCTGGATTGGTTCTTGCTGCTTAAAAACAGGACCGAGATCAGGTAGAATGAGCTTGATATATTCTTCTTTGGTGCATTCCTCAGCAATTAGGAGAACATTAGGCAAGACAAAGGGTACCATATCAGGATTCACAAATTCAGAAGTCAAACAAGGCAAAATTCGCTGAATTATAACACGCTAAAAGAAAAAAAAACAAGCATGCATCACATTGTATTGCACTGCAGTAAGTTACTGCTGTGCCAGCTCAACAGTTTTTGTATTAACCTGATATTTATAAAAAAGCAGACAGACAGTTTTCAGTTTTGAACTCTTACTTTCACAGTATATGCTACATAACTTATATTGTGCTACTTTACTTATTTTTCTCTGTTGGCACTTGAAATATAACTGGAGACTATAGTAACTGTGAAAGTCAACAAAAAGCAATTAACTGTACAGAAAATAGGACTTTCAGTCTTTTGAGGGACTTTGTCGAGGCCTGTAACTAGTGGTGTTACCCAGGGGTCAGTACTTGCCCAGTCTTGTTCAACTTCTTCATCAATGACCTGGATGAAGAGTTAGAGTGTACCCTCAGCAAGTTTGCTGATGACACAAAACTGGAAGGACCGGTGGATACACCAGCAGGCTGTGCTGCCATTCAGCGAGACCTGGACAGGCTGGAGAGGTCGGGAAAGAGGAACCTGATGAAGTTCAACAAGGGCAAATGCAGGGTCCTGCACCTGGGGAGGAACAACCCCATGCTCATGTACAGGCTTGGGGCGGACCTGCTGCAGAGCAGCTCTGCGGAGAGGGACCTTGGTGACCTGGTGGACAACAGCTTGACCATGAGCCAGCAGTGTGCCCTGGCTGTCAAGAAGGCCAATGGGATCCTGGGGTGCATCAAGAAGAGTGTGGGCAGTAGGTCGAGGGAGGTTCTCCTTCCTCTCTACTCTGCCCTAGGGAGGCCCCATCAGTTCCAGCTGAACACAAGGAAGAACTTCTTCCCTCTGAGGGTGACAGAGCACTGGAACAGGCTGCCCAGGGAGGTTGTGGAGTCTCCTTTGGAGATATTCAAGACTCGCCTGGACAAGGTCCTGCGCAGCCTGCTGTAGGTGACCCTGCTTTGGCAGGGGGGGTGGACTAGATGACCCACAGAGGTCCCTTCCAACCCCTAACATTCTGTGATTCTGTGATTCAGTCACATACATGAATTTTGAAAACTTTATTCTACATGCTTTCCTAGAACAGACCCTAAAAAGACCCTATCAACCCCCCCCAGTAATCAGTTTTTCAGTACCCCATTGCTCACTGAACAAACACATAATCCTGCTACATCTCCCTGTAAAACTCCAGGTACATTCCTGAAATGGGATTCTGCTGATGAAATAGGCATTTATACTGTGGGTGTCTACTATAGAGTTCGACATCCTTAAACTCTTTACAGTTCAAGGGCACAGTCCCTTCCCTCATAAAATATACTTTCAAGACAGAAAAAAAAGAATGCCCTAAAGATCATTAGGTCAGTCAGTGACTGAAGTATAGGTGAAATACATCCCATCTGTTTTTAAATTCAAAGCATCAACGATTTCTGATCAAAGGAAAAAATTACGAACTTAAGAAAGTTTTAAACATGAAATCTGAATTTTGCACTTAAAGAAATTCCATACAATGGTTGAGAAGCTTAGCTATTCTATTATGTATTAAACTAATTTTCTATTAAACTATTTTTCTATCACATATGCATTATGCTTTATATAAAGAATACCATAAAACAAACAGAAGTCAGTCTAGACAGTGTCTAACCCTACACAGAAGAAATCTGTAATGACAGACATTTGCCTTTGAGGTTTCTGGGCACCACTAGGACAAGAAAGCACTTAGTCTGTTGAGGGAAGGAAGCTTGCATCATTCAACATTAAAGTACTGCTTTGCTATGAAAAACCTTGAGGCAATCTTTTCGTGAGAAAAGGTGGCAAGATGACTTCAAACAGCTATGATAACATCTGGAAACACAGAGAAAGCCTTGTAAGTGGAGAGAAGACAACTCCCTTTCAAAGTGGGACGAACTACAAGAGGACATGCAAATGATGGTTCCTTACACATACTGACAGAAAAATTTGCCATTTTCCATTTAAGGAATCACTTATAGCTCAGGAAAGTCTCAACACTAACTATTTTCTGATCTCTCCTTCTTTCCTGCTGCTGTATTCTGACTGTCTCATGGCAGTCTGTTACGGTACAATGCTACATGGAGTCCAGCATTCTGAGATTCAGAATGTTAATAGATGTTAATAGATGTTCGCATATGTCATGCAGACATACCTTAGGTAGTTTTGGCAGAACCTTTGGTAGCCCTTTAAAAAACTGTGATTTCTGAAGGTTATCCCTTTGAAATAATGAATCAAAATACTGAAGCGTCATTGCTCCTACATCATCGAAGAATGGTATCTAAAAATAAGATTAAAAGCTTGTGATCTGGAGGGAGACAACATTGACACTGTTACAAAGATTCCAAAATATCATAATCTATTTACCTTTTCAATGCAAACTTTTACAATGACGTGCCTGCAACTCACAATTAGAAAAGTAACATTTTTACATACTAAATAGTACAATATTCACAGATAAACATTTATTATTGACAGAATTTTCCTAGTATTTTAAAGAAACCCATGCATGTTATGTGTATCTAAGTTAACTTACTGTATATGAAATAATGTTTCATCTACAATAAATCAAAAGAAAAGTAAAAACCTTGATTAAAAGTGCTCCTAGGAATAATTATGCTCTTTAGTGTTACAACAAAGGATTACCTACTAGGCCATCCGGACATGGCTACCACCCCTGGAAACTTATAATGCATCAACAAGCATGTATCTACAATAAATGTGTAATTATATAAATTTCTCTCCAATGTTGAGACCTACTCGTAAATCCTGTCCATTATAATTTCTCACATGATCTCCTCTGTTTGCATTTCTTCAGCAAAGAGGGCACAGGCCTTTGTAAGTATTATGTAACAATGTACATACATATAAACTAGGCTTAAAAAGATGGCACCAACAAAATACCAGGGGGTTTAATCCGTAACCGTATATCATATCATATATTAATACTGACAGAGCTGCTTCACCATTAATGAAAGATTCATAAAAATGCATGATGATAACAAGATTGTTTATATAAAAAATCCATCCCCAAATATTCAGCTTTCAGTTAGCAGATGAACAAAAAGAGCAGAAGAGTGTCTGTCCCAGACTTATGCAGACTGGAATGAAAAATTCTGCATTCAAAAACCTGCATGGGTAAGATTCCTCCTTTCTGCTAGCTCGCAGTTTTAGGGAGGGATGTATCAAACCTCACGGGCTCACAAGAGTTAAAGACAACGCATGGTCTCTCAGACTATTCAGACATTTGTTTTCAGTTGAAAAATTTGTGCAAAAAGGAATTATATAAAAACATGTAAATAAGCTCTGCTGTAAGGCAGAAAGAGAAGCCAGTAAGAGTAGGGCAATAAAGAGAATCAGAAAAGCAGACTGGAGTAGGGCAATACAGAAGAAAAATTGTCAGTTGAGAATCCAAGCTAGTCAGCACTGTGGACTTAAATTCTGTCTTCTACATCACACAACAAAATGGACGTAATCACGGAATTCTACACAGGTTAACACAAACTAGTTAAAACTAGCAAGGTAAACTTGCTCATGTCAAGCTCCATTTTAGTTCATGTCATGCTGGCAATAACAAACTGATTTTAGAACTAAAGCTGTAATATCTCTAGCCTACAATTCAGTCTGCAGTGCAGATGTGGTAAAAGAGACTTAACAACTTTAGAAAACCATACTGCTTAACACAAGTATTTACAGATTTGTTTGTTGCAGCCCTTCAGACAAGTGAGTTGATACTCAAGTAACATTTGCCCATTTCCTCACTTCCCCTCTTCCAACATATATGTTGGCAGGATCATTACCTGTTCCCCCTCCCTTCTTCACTCACTATTTCTTCCAACTGTTAAGACACTGATTTCTCTCTCTGCTTACAATCTTTTTAAATGTCAGGAAAAGAAGAAAATTGTTTACCTATCAGATATGAGAAAACAGAGTATAACACAAAGAAAGAATCATGCTTTTAAGTTCTACTTTCAGACAGGAAAGTGGAGAAAGAGTTTGTCAAATTAAAACTTAAATTATCCTACTTACAGTTAATTTTTGCTTTATTATAGCAAGTAAGCTCTGAATGTATTTTATGCTATTCTTCTGCATATTTAAAAATACACCAAAAATCATAAGCCAAAAGTTAATCCTTACATTTATTGCCCTTTATCATGACATTTTATGGCTTTAAAATCCTTCCAATACAGTTTTAAAGACTGAAGTGTATAAAAACATAGCGTAGAAAATACTTCCAACTGTACTGGGAAGCAACAAAATAGTGTTGCATGGAATGATTATTCTAAATTCTGTCCCAGCACCCACTTCTTCCATATTAATAAAGGCCAGCATAAGGACAACTTTTGGCAACAACATCACTATTTCCAAACTAGTTAAAAATATTTAACATTTCAACTGAAATGATTAGGAGGAAAACACTTTAAAATTACTCTATTGTTTCTACAAATCAAACACTATTTTTCCTCTTTCCTGTGGCTACTGTATTTTCCATGAACTGACCTTGGTCATTTGATCTGCGTCTGGTCTGACTGCTGGAGCTACATTTAAGAGTAGCTTCACATGTTCACGCACCTCCTCTGGTATACTCTGAAGAGTACTGGAGCTTAAACGGCTCAGCTGCGTAAGTAATTTAAGCACATGCATCATGAAGTCAGAAAATCCTGCATGTAACTATTTCCAATATACAACAGGACTATACTTTGTCCTCCCGATGGTTCCTCTACCCACACCTTTAATATCCCTCCCTTCTCCCCTTTTATAACCCATCAGCTTCTGATCCCTCATAGTCTTCTTTCTGTCTCCTCTTCAGGTCACATTCCCCTGTTCCCAACTTCTGTGTTCAGGTTATCAGAGAACACAAACCCAGTATTTTTAAACAGATACATGTTATTATCTGAGGTGTTACCTACTCACATCAAAATACAGTATGCACAACTAAAGCAAAAGGCACCCAAAGAAGTTACGACAAAGGAAACTCGTATATGAACATACGTTATGTCAGCTGATCCAAGCAACTGTCTTCTGTTAATATTCACAGTCCAGAAAGAATGTGAAATAGCTGACAGCTAAGTGGATACCAACTGCAGCGTCAAGTGCTCAAGTCACTCTGAACTCAGCCACCTTCAATGGTCCTACACAGGTCATTCACTGCCTTGTGTTTCACACTGTTCCCCCCAACAGGTAAAGTACTTATTCCACAAGACCAGCACTCAACAGGTTTACAGAGAAATCAGGTGAAAAATGAAATTTGTAGTTTATAAAGTTGGTATATGCATCCTTCTCTACACATATTTTTATTTCCCATATTTTGATAGGGTTCTTTTTTACTGTTATAAAGATAGCACGCAAGGTAAGATACCATTATTGGATTGTTTATGTTGAAGCACTGGTATTGTGTTCCAAATATTTAAATCTGTTTTACAACAGTAACTTTTCAAATATGAAAATCAATGAATAATAGTCACAAATAGAACAAATACCTGATCCAGCTGTCTGCTAAAGCTTTTATAAATATCCTGCTTGTTGACCTCAAAAATTGGCTTCCCTTTATTAAACACTGCATACATAACGGCTCCTAGAGAGTACATATCACTGGCTGTCTCACAGCTCACAGAGAGAATATATTCTGGTGCCAAATATTCAGGATTTGGAAGACACAAGGATGGCAAGTTTGGATCCCATTCCTTACAAGCGAACTTTGGCTACAAGAGAAGAAAGTACAATTATTAGGGATTTTTAAAGAAAATTTTAAATAATAAACTAGAGCAGCAAAACATAATCAATCCACTCAAATTCAATTACGAATGAAACAGAAATGGAGTAAGGCAAAACTGTTACGAATATGTGTCTGCAGCTTACAGTAATTAGCTGATGCAGTTAAGCCTGAATTGGGAACTGTAATGCAAAATCCAAGCACTGCTGCAAGAGGGAAACATGAGCTATGATGGGCATTCATTTTAGGAGGCAGCAACCAGGCACAGAGCGGATGCAACAGACTAAATTAGGTAGCTTTGCATGCCATCCAACACGCAGGAGAGCAGAAGCAGCACAGGCTTCAGCCTCTGTCTGAAACCATCACTAGTCTATTTTGACTCCACTGAGCCAACTCAGGCTCTTTTTCTGTGATGATCAAAGGCAGCACTTCAATCCAGATCTGCGCCATATATTCAAACATCCTGCCAACAAAATATAGAGGTAAATATTAAAGAAATGATTCTGTACTGAAATGCAAGGTATGAAACTGGTTTCAGACAAAGATCTGAATTTGAAATTTAATGAAAATAAATATAAAGATCTACTACCTCCTGTTCAGATGGATTTGTTGACTGGATACAAAAGTCAAAGCCCATAATTTTCCATGCCCCGCTCTTATTCAAAATTATATTTTCAGGAGTAATATTTCCATGGACCATTTTCACACTGCTATGCAAAAATGACAAGCCTTCAGAAACCTGTTAATAAAAGATTATTATTTCACTTTAAATATTTCCTCAAATATCCTGTAAGTTATTTACAAAAATCCTGTTCTTGTGGTAACAGTTAAATTGGTAAGTTAGCTAAAAAGCAATTTTTACCTCTGTTTCAGGCTATGTCTTAAATATTACGTATGAAAGAAACTAAACACAGATGGGTAAACAGCAGATTAAATTACTAATGCCGATTAACTATCACAGCATGCGAACAAATATGTTTTTCAAAGTTTATCAACATATTCACCATATAAAACCTGGGACCTACTGATCCTCCACAGAACGTAAAGAAAAGATTCACATATGGGAGAGATAGATGTAGCACATACATCTATAAGGAAAATAAAAATTCACTCGATATCATATTTTCTGTGTCAGAATAAGCAAAACCAGTAGCAACTTAGAGCCTCCAGTGTTCAACATCCTCTCTCTTACTTAAAACGATCAGGACGCTATCATCTCTCACTTGCCAATTATTTGATTTACTATAGGCAGACAAACTTTGGTAGTTTACAAACTTTATAAAACAATCATTAACACTAAAAGCACAAAGAAAATTATAAGGACAACCTGTGTCATACCTGAAGCAAACCATATTTGGTCTCCACATCATAAAGTTTGTATTCTTTAATGTCAGATGGTAAAGGAGAAGGTAGGTTGTCCCAGCTGCCAAGAACATTAGCTAAACTTGCAAAGACTGGTTCTGTACAAAATGCCAAGCAATCCCTACAGAGGAAATACATAAAAACACTTCTCGTAAATAATAAATCTCCTGACTGTGAATAAAGAAGCCTACAAACATAGTATTATACATTACCAGAGCACTTGGTGGTACCTAAAAACATGTTATATTTCAGGTTTTGAGTCCTTCTAAGTAATATACTGGAGAGAAATACCTAATTATCTGAAGTATTCAAAAAATATTAGAATATAAAAATCAGCTTATTTTATTCTCTATCATTCACATCACTAATGATGCACACAATGCGCTATAAAAAGTTTTAACAAAACAATGATTTTCTTGTTCTGATCCAGCAAAACCAAACAATTCTTACTATTATTAAAACTTGTAAAATCAGGCTTTTAGCTGTGCCTAAAACTGACACGCCCCTGACTGAAGCAACACTTAATGTGATCAGACAATGATAAGAAACAAAATTAATAAAATGTAAGTTAGCACCTGAATATTCTTTCACTTTGCAAATGAACAGAAAAGAAGAGGTGCAAACACAAATATTCTTGTTGTATGAACTGGAGTTTGCATGTGAAGTGACTGTTTTCTAAATTATTTTATCTATTGCTTTCTTCATGAAAAAATATGGGTCTTATTTACGCATTTGTGTGTTAACACCATTTTAAAAGCACAGATGAAGCAAACTTCTTCCACGCATGACGTGGACAGGCTGTAATAGTTGTGCTTCAAAATTTCAAATTTTGAGGTCCTGAAAAGAATGTATGTCTCAGCTTCACAAACTTCATGTATCACAGACAGGGTCATTCTTTATATCCACATTCTTCATAGGGGTCTGCACAGCGCTAAAGGCCCTGGACAGTCATTGCAACTCACTTCTTAATTGTTTTAAAGTTTTTTGGAAAAAGCATTACATGGGTGGTAGCACACATACCTGGTTTAAGGATGAGTAATTAATGAGAACATTAAATGCTGCATCAGTATGAACACAGAAAACAGAGACTGAGTAACAGTAATAAAGATGTATGTTTGAATATAAAATTACAGGCAAGAAGACAGAAGCATAACTTTTTGTTCATTCCATAAAAATATCACAGAAGACACAATGTCTCAGCATGGATCTACCACACAACTTTTCTGTATCCCAGTAATTAACAAGCTTGGTCTCTGAAGTAAAATAAGGCTGATGAAACACATAAACCTTTTATTACTCATCCAGATTTTAGTTTTACTTTGATTTTATCTATTACCTTTCTGAAGGAAAAACATCTGAAAATTAAAACACATTGAGTCCTACGTGTCAGTCAACCTGACAGAATGTCTTTCTCTGGTTTCCGCCATCCCTTTCATGTTTCTCCTAACAGAACTAGGACTATAAAACTGGTTTCTGTAGTAATCACAAGGAACAATCAGAGCGCCGAAAGACCAAGTCCTTCATTTTCAATCTGACTTCAACTTTACCTTTAATTTTAGAGCTAATGTATTTAGTTCTTATTAACGCACAGATGATAGAAAATACCTAGGGACCAGTTATTCCATGGTTTCCATAACATAAACCCTCTGATTGTTTTTGTTTTGAGGAAATAAAAAGATAGCTGTTTATTTTTTTACTTTAGGATATAATTAAATATGGACCCAAATCACAATAATGGCAGGATGGGGCAAATCTAATTAAAGCAACTGAATATTGCAGAAGCTGATGTCTGCCATACAGTACAGTTTTTTTAACAGTTCCCTGAATAATATCAAAACGAAATTCAGAGTAACATACTAAAAAGAAAACAAGTTAAAAAGTGACAGCCAAAAATGCATACGCTTTGGGAAAAACTTCAACAGATGGAATGTCTAGTAAATTAAGTATCTGAGACTCTTCACACTACTTCTATTTTTGATGAGTAGTAATAACATTATAAGTGAACATATAATTTTGCTTTTTTATCCTTTTCTCCATTAACAAGTTAAATATAGAATAATATTGCTCATCTGTGCTGTTACTAGAATTCAAGACCAATTGTATGTAAATGTATTTATATTAAATATTTCATATAAAGAGTTATTCATTATATAATTGCATGTAAAAATGTATATTTCATAATATATATAAAACACATGTTTATATTAAATATAATTATATTGAATACCAATAATTTAGAGTAGAATTGTTCTATTAATAGTGGAACAGCTACCTACACACTAGGGTCAGAAATGTATGGCCTTTCCTTCTATACCTACTTCAGCTGTGCAGGTACACCAAGTATCCCGTTGCCCCAGAAAGGAGGAATAAAGAGCGACTTGCAAGCATTTCAACACTACTGTATGTTACTCCAGAGACACAAACAAAAGATCACGTACAGTTTAGCCAGAAGGAGCCCATGACAGATTTCTTAAAGAATATGCACTCTGGAAAGACCTGTAACTCTTGAGCAATTGTACAGCATGCTTGCACAAGGTTACACACAAATATTCTAAGCAAACTTTTCTTTTATGAACCCCCTCCAAAAACTGTTACATCAGTTTCTGGCCAAGAAAGCAACTGGACAGGTTTTGTGCTACTGGTGTTTCTACCAGTATCTGAGCATGCTGAGCACGGAAAGAAGAAAAATTGCAACAAAGCATAGGAAATTACTAAAAACTCACAAATGAGAACTGTGACACAACTACACTGTTAATTTTACTCAAAAGGCTTAAATTCTTCACAAGACAAACAATGCTTTCTTAACACTCCAAGGTATGAACCTTCGCCTTTTCTTCTGAAGTGCAGAGTTCAGGGAAAAAATAATTACAAATGCAATTGCTGAGTCAATCAAAATACTGCAACAATTCTAGGAAGAAGCCTGGGCTATACTCTGGGATTCACTTGCATACCCTATGACTGAGATGATCCCAGGCCATTTAGCACGTAATAGTTTATTTACTGTTGCAGAGTAGTGAGAGCTCTCTTCAATTACCTAATTAATCTTAGGCTTTTGTGAAGGGCATACTGAACCATAGGAGCAATGACAGCTTTGAACCCTTCTTAATGCAAAATGTGTTTAGTACTGAAGGAAAGATACATATGAATAGGCAAGTGTCATTTAATCCAAGAAATCCTTCCCATAGTAGGCATCGCAAAGATGAAGAAGAATTTCTACAGTATTGTCAGCTCCTAGAAGCCAATACATTTGGCAAAATGCAGGTTAACAGACACAATAAAAAATGTAGAAGTTTGAAAAGTAATGCTTATGAATCTTTATTAGGCTATCATTTAGAAAAACTACTTTGGAAAACAATTTCTCTAAAACCTGTGTGATCTTCCTCAGCATTATCAGGATCAGCTTTCTATTTTAACATGAAACCTTCATAGAATCATTAAGATTGGAAAAGACCTCCAAGATCATCAAGTCCAGCCATCATCCCCAACACCACCATGCCTGCTAAACCATATCCCAGACTGCCATATCTACACGTGTTTTAAACACTTCCAGGGATGGTGACTCCACCACCTCCCTGGGCAGCCTGTTTCAGTGTCTGACCACTCTTCCAGTAAAGAAATTTTTCCTAATACCTAATCCAAACCTCCCCTGACACAACTTGAGGCCACTGCCTCACGTCCTATTGCTAGTTACTTGGGAGAAGAGACCAACACTTGCCTAACTACAACCTCCTTTCAGGCAGTTGTAGAGAGTGATAAGGTCTCCCCTCAGCCTTCTCTTCTCCAGACTAAACAGCCCCAGCTCCCTCAGTCGCTCCTCAGAAGACTTGTTCTCCAGACCCTTCACCAGCTTCATTGCCCTTCTCTGGACACGCTCCAGCACCTCAATGTCCTTCTGGTAGTGAGGGGCCCAAAAGTGAACACAGTACTCGAGGTGCGGCCTCACCAGTGCCGAGTACAGGGGCACAATCACCTCACTAGTCCTGCTGACCACACTATTCCTCATACAAGCCAGGATGCCGCTGGCCTTCTTGGCCACCTGGGCACACTGCTGGCTCATGTTCAGCCAGCTTTCGACCAGCACCCCAAGGTCCTTTTCCACTGGGCAGCTTTCCAGCCACTCTCCCCCAAGCCTGTAGCATTGCATGGGGTTGTTGTGAACAAAGTGCAGGACCTGGCATTTGGCCTTGTTGAACCTCATACAGCTGGCTTCGGCCCATTGATCCAGTCTGTCCAGATCCCTCTGCAGAGCCTTCCTACCCTCCAGCAGATCGACACTCCCGCCCAACTTGGTGTCATCTGCAAACTTACTGAGGGAGCACTCAATCCCCTCATCCAGATCATTGATAAAGACATTAAACAAGACTGGTCCCAAAACTGAGACCTGGGGGACACCACTTGTGACGAGCCACCAGCTGGATTTAACGCCGTTTACTACCACTCTCTGGGCTCAGCCATTCAGCCAGTTTTTTACCCAGCGAAGTGTACACCCATCCAAACCACGAGCAGCTGGTTTCTCCAGAAGGATGCTGTGGGAAATAGTGTCAAAGGCCTTACTACAGTCCAGGTAGGTAACTTCCACAGCCTTTCCCTCATCCACTAGGCGGGTCACCTGGTCACAGGAAATCAGGCTGGTCAAGCAGGACCTGCCTTTCATGAACCCATGCTGGCTGGGCCTGAACCTCTGGTTGTCCTTCACATGCCTGGTGAGCACACTCAAGATTCATTTTATGTGTGAGATTTTAATGTGCTGTTATGACTACAGTTGAGCGACAAAGCTATAAGATTAGCCCATTATTGTGCCTAGTGACCAACCTTACATAAATCAAACAAGCACTACAAAAATGCACTGAATTCTGTCTCCCTTGATTGGCATTTGAGGACCTTTGAAACACATATGTGGCCATAAGACGTTCAATTTAGCAAAAATCTCCAATTTCACATGCACTAAGTACATACATCTCATAAATGGAACAAACGTATGAACAACCTTTTGAAAGAAAACAATTTTTAAGAGAGTTCTTTAAAAGCAAAATTAATTGAACCACTAAATTTTCATGCTGTAAGGGTCATGTGTAGCCTTATAGCTGCAACTGGAACTAAGATCATGCTGTAAATTATTAATTACATTCACTAGATTCACACCAGAAACGCATCCTATGGCTTGGGGGAAGAAAAAATCTGAGGGTGGGGTGAATACCATTCTCAAATGAATAAATACAGTAAACTTGAATCTCATCAGATGTATGTGTTGAATGCTGCCTATATTTTATGTCCAATAACAAAACAATGATTAAGAAAGTCTGTTCTCAACCACAGCTTACCTGGATTCTTCCAACGGATGTTGAACAGTAAGTAGTCGAGGGTGTCGAAGCCTGGTTAGTTGTTGAACACCTCGTTTTAAAGAATCAATAATCTGATCCTTTTCAAATTTTTGATACTTGTCTATTAGCTTCTTATCGAAGACGAAAACAGCCACTTCCTAGAAATAAGCAACAAAATTCACTTGGTATATAATACAGCTAAAAGACAAGCCTATTCACAACTACATACAGACACACACACATATTTTTTGAATCAACAGTACAATCCCACCAACGCAATAAGTATTTCAATGCATATGTATATATACATATAGTCCTTACTTCATCCCAGTCATAATCACACAGGTTACTGTATATAATCTCGGGAATATGCATTTTAAAAGTTAAGGTGCTACTGCTCCTTATCTTACAAACAGTAATACGTAAACTATAACCACAATCTACACACTGACAAAGCAGTAGATCCACAGGACAGAAATCAGCTTCATTTTAAGAAGATGAAAGCATTTACATCAACTACAAACAACTAAAATATTCTCAGCATATATGCAGTCATTTGGCATAAAATATACCAAGTGGTACTTTATTAAACCAGACCCAGTCTCAGCATTCAGCCCCAAACCAGCAAGATCCAGCTTAAACTAGACATTCGTGATAGATAACTTATAGTCACATTAATCAACTAATCTGAGCAGACCATTCACATGATAAAACATCAAGAATTTTTAAATGCTTAAACACATGTAAGAAGCAGCCCCAGAAGTGCAGTTGATGTTAAAAACAGAGAAAATAGTTCCTCCAACCAACCTCTGCAAATGAAGTGGGAGAAAATTAAGAAATTTATATGAAACTTTGAAAATGCAGAGGTGGATGTGAAATAAAAAATTAGATTACATTGCCCTTTTTGAAGCCATTAAAGAGAAATAAATCAATTGAAGAAAAAGGAATTCAAAACTTTGTTATGAAACGGAGGCTTTCTTATACTTTTATACTTTCTTACAATCATAACAGCATTATGAATAATGATAAAGGTTAGAAATCAGTAGAAAATAATATGAAAATACAGTTTTCAGTCCCAAGAGGAAGTCTATGCTTTTGTACTGCACATTTTATAACCAATATTCTAATTCAAATCTCACCGGAACAGTTACATTATTGATTTAAAAAAAAAAAAAAAAGACTTCTATAAATCGGCTATATAAAAAAAGAAATTCAATCCAATACACAAAAAAAAATCAGTTTATATTTTTTAGCTGGTACCTGTTTCATTAAGCCATTAGCAGGTGATCTATAACTAACTCAATTAAGTACACTTCTGCTGCTTCTCTCCATACCAGCTCTCTGCTCCAACTCTTAAGTGTGATGGATCAAACATTAACATTGACACAAGGCAGGGAAGAAACAATGACAGGGAATGGAAGATGTACACTATACCCACTACTTCAGAAATGCACATTTTCCAGGTCATAGTGTGAATGTATTGAGCAGTACGTGACCAATAACAAATTTTCAAACTAATACAGCACTTCTGAAAGCACTTCTGTTCAATAAGAAGTCAAAAGAATCAGGAAGTGAACATTTAAATTGGATAGTATGGGACATAAGCTATGGTTTGAACATTTTAAGATGGCTATAAGTAAGTCCTATTAGTGCTTGTTGCAATCCTGCACGATTTGTTTGAAGTTTGACAGTACTTTAACATATCCAAAATTAGCTCACATAATAGTATGTATATGAAATTGTAGTATTCTAAGTATGAAAATTATTGCTATCACATTGATTTTGTAGACTTTAGCTATTGTGGAGTGTCAAGAATCAAAATTATTTGAGTTGTGTGACAACTTGCTTTCAATTCCTTCATTTTTATGTAACACGTCTGATACAAGCAGAAAGCATACAGTCATCTCTGTCTGCGCAGGGACATCAAAATGTTAAATATGTTCTAATATTACTAATTCAAAATATGGCATTCCAAAATTCAATCCCATAATCACCATTGATTTTTATATGCAGAATGCCGTATCAGTAATATCATATCTTAACTGCTGTAAGTGACCAGATATTATTGTACAGAAGAATGAAGAGATAGGTGAGTCATGGGCACAGAACACACTCTCAATGCACAAAAAATACTGAAACCATATAGTATACTTGGAAACTTTTAAAAGTGTTCATGGTTTTATCCTGCATGAACCAAATAACCCTGTGAAATTTTGACTATGAAGACATTATTTCTGTTTTCCCTATTCTGTTTCACAAGAACAGATATTTAACCCCAAAAAGGAGGGCTACAGATCCCTTTGGAGGGAGGAGCTACACTCCTAAAGGAGAGATAGCTGATAGGGATTCCTTTTCCTGTAATTACTTTCATGGAATCTTAGTGAGATGAAAGCCTGCAAAGGCTTACATAGTTACTACTTCTTTCCACAGAAAGCTCTAGGGCAGCTTCCACTTATTCATTTCACAGGTTTGAAGGAAGAGTAGCTTCCACCTGAAGATGACTACTTGTTATTCAATTCTGCAGTTGTGTCTCAATTCCAAATTTGTGATATAAAGCAAATTTAACAGTAAAAGACTAAAATATACTAAAATAAATACGACTTCTCTTCACAAAGAAAGTGAAAAAGGACAGACAAAAGAACCCCTATCTTTAATGACAGAAATGTTTATTCCTTATGTGATAGCAGGATACACACCTTGCTCAACACAGTCTTGTCTGAACACACTATACTGGTAATGCTACTACCTGGATTAGGAAGTATGGACAAGGATGTAGGGGACTGGACTGGCCACTCAAGAGATCTAAGTTTAAATCTCAGTTTTGTACACAGACACGAGATAGTCTGCACCCTGTCTCACCTCCCACATGTTTAAGCCAAGTGCTTTACTTCAAAGTGGTATTAGGTAAAGCTCAGTGACGACATTGAGACAGCTGTATGTTACGAGGTGTACCGTGTAAGTATCTGCCAGGATGAAGACCTTCAAGAAAATATCTGTTGTTACTGCCAAGAATTTAGAATCTTTAACATGAATCACTGAAAAGATCAGTGTTTAAGTTCTACAATGCCTTTATCGAGGAATGAAATGTCACCTGTGCAAACAGGAGTAAGCGTTGCCCACAACATGCAAAACACAGGGCACGGTTTAACTGGGCAATAATCATATTAACTCACGTAGAACACTTTTAGACACTGAACAGAGAAGTAGAAATGAGTTTTCTTTGATTGTGCTTGTGTATTTTAGGGGAATCCTGTTGATCACTGTCCCAAAGACTTGGTATTCACTAGTATACCCCTTCATAAAGGTTTTTTATCCTTGTAGTTTTTAATCACTAAATGCCCTTATATCCTTTTCCCAGCTTCTTTTTCCTTTGTACTGGGTCTGGCTGAGACGGAGGTAACTTTCTTCATAGTATCCTGTATGGTTCTGTGTTTTAGATTTGTGACTAAAACAGTGTCAATAACACACCCACCTTTTGGCTGTTGCTGAACAGTTCCCACTCTGCCCCTGCAGTGAGTAGGCCATAGGTAGGCAGGAGACTGGGATGGGACCTGGCCAGGGCAGCCAACCTGAACTGGCCAAAGGGCTATTCCATGTCATACAACATCATACTCAGTGATAAAAACGAAGGTATAGGCAGAAGAAGGGGGTTTCTGACTTTCACGGTGGTGGTTGTTTGGAGACTAGCTTGAGCATCGGTCTGCCTGTGGGATGTAGTAAGCAATTTCCTTTGCTTTGCTTGGTTTTTTCCCCTCTTCCTTCACCTATTAAACTATCTGGATCTTCACCTATGAGTTTTCTCACTTTTCTTCTTCCTATTCTCTGCCCTCATCCTGTCGGGGGGTGGGGAAGTGAGGGAATAGCTGTGGGGGTGCTTGGTTGCTGGTCAGGCTCAACCCACTGCACTCTCCGAGTCCGTTTGCAATCATGCATTCCTTATGAAACACACACCAGTCTGAAACGCGCACTGACAGTTTAAGATACATGTCCTTATCTACCCACATAAACAGCTCATAAACCAAAGGGAATGCAAAAATCCTGCTCCTACCTTAGCCAATACAACTGCAAAAAAAAAAAAAAAAAAAAAGGAGGGAAGAAGGAAAGAGAAATAATTCTCCCTCACCAGAAAAAGGCAACCAAGGCAAGCTTGTGCGTCAAAAAATATGCTAACAAAACTAGAAAGTATTTCTAAATTAAAGACTCTAAAAACTGTGGCTATGTAATGATAATCGAATATCTCTTCCTATTCATCTCACTACATACTGAGAAAGCATGTTAACACCACCTGTAAAACATTCAAGCACTACACTGATAAATGCTACAGAAACTCAAATCCTTCTATTTTCAATGGCATTTTGAATAGTGTGGAATAATAATGCCAGAGACCAAGCACAGAACAAACAAGGAAGAAAAAAAAAAAACAACACACCACAAAATACTTCATAACTACAGTTCACCGTCTATCCTGTGAACTGAATGATGTAGTGCTCTCATGGAAAAAAATTAAATGTGACCACGTTAAAGACTAAGCCATGAACATAAAAGTAAAGGTAATTTTAAGATAGCAGTCTGAGTGCTTGCTTTTAGAAACTTTATGTTTGTTTTCCCTTTCATTTTTGTTCTCTATTTTACCCATATGCACTCAGGCATTTTTTTAATGAATAATCAGATGTAACTCAACACGCAAACACATGATGTTTTACCAAAGCCTCCCACTGTGCAAAGCAAAATAGTCTCTGAACTAAAATACTGGAAAGCATTCCAGTATTACTCTGGTCTTTTGCCAGAAAAAGATTTTCCTCCAGCTTTTGGGGGGTTTATTTTTAGAAGCTTGCCAATGCTTTTTTTATAATTCTACTTTCCCATCAGTTTGCTTCAGTCATAAGGTATGCAATACAACTATATCAGTTTTTAAATGAATTAGCCTTTAAAGTTTGAATAGTAGGAAGCTTTCATTTCAAAGCTACTCTATGCACAGCCAAAACAACAGAAAGCTGATGGACCTACCATTCATACATTTGGTACTACCACAATAAAAGTTAAACACAACTACAGTAGTCATGAAGTACAAATCGTTATCTCCTTAATTCTGTCAATTTTTATGACCGAGCTGCCAACAAGAACTTGAAGCGACCATACCCTATCTATTTCTTTATGACTGCACTTTCTAAGCAGAAAATGTACAAGTGCCATATTACGCCAGGAAAAAATGTAAGTGCATAAAGACCAAGTTAACAAATCCAAGATGAGGTGAAATACATACTGTAAAGTTAGCAACATGTTACTTCATGTATACACGCACAACCAGACTTATAAATCTTTCAAATAAACAGCAGCAAATCAGCTACCAAATAGCACCAGACAAACATATGCACACAAGTAAGTAATTTCCTCACATTCCGTTAGGTTGTTACTCAAGTCACCTACAAAGTAAGCAAGAAAAGACAAGACACATTAAAAAAAAAAAAAATTACGTAAACATTCAGAAATTCAGGAAAACCAGCAAGGCAGGAACCAGGCAGAACTCTGTAAAGAGGAATAAAATCATACATATCTGCTGTCCCCAGAGACAGAATATTTGTAACCGTCCACTGACTTAAAATTGGAACCAAATTAATCCATATTCGAAATCTTCACTTCAGCTGACCAACTTCTGTAAGACCACTGACTTCCATTTGTCCTGAGAACACAAATTTCTGAACAGCTCTACTGTTCTAATGCTAAAACTCCAAATTTCGCTATTTTATCTGGCTACAATGACTTAAATTGTTACTTGTGTTGTTGTGAAGTGACAACAACATGGGCCATTAAGCCCTTACATCCTGCTTGTCTGATCTAGGTGCTTGTATCTTCAAATTAGGTATACACACTTGCAATACAGCAAAATTCACAAAAATGACTGCTGCCACTTGGAAAATGACAGCCAGCCACTTCCATATTGCCCAGCCAACATTCAAAAGGTGCATGCAAAAGAAATAAAAAATGTTAAAGAACAGATATTTTGCAATACAACACCACATAAATTGTTTGTATTGCTGTGCAGTCGTATTTTGCAAAGGCAAACTGAATGGTGACATGATGTTACCCAACTGGTAATATTAATAACAAACGGTAATTGCATGTCAAATCACCAGCCAACTAAAATTCCCTGCAGTACAACTGCTGCTATATTTTTAATGACTAATGATGGCATACAGATGTACAGATGTTAGGGTTTACAGAGATACTGCAGGATCACATGTGGCAACACCTGAACCAAAACTGTGCAAAAACTGTGGTCAGAACACCCATTCAAAGCTTGAACATGATGGACAGGAACAGAGTTACATACACTCTGTCAATTAGACAGTGAAAGAAACTTGCTACACCTCTCCAGACCTTAAAGCTACACCTGCTACAGGTCAAACGTTTACTGGACACAGAGATAGTATAAAACCTATCAAAACTAATTTATTTTCAACGTTATCACTTCTTTGTATAGCTGGACAAGACCCAAAAAGCCCCCAGTTGGTACACTGGGTAAATTCCTTACATACTAGACGTACAGAGTTCTGCAACAGCTACAGAGATGCTTGAGAATATGGCAAAAGTACCTGCTTAACATTATTGAGAATCTGTCACAATCAGATCACACTTTCTCCACAGATTGTTTATTCTGCACAGTGTATTTCTTCTCTATTTGCTACAGCTTATTTTCCTACTATCTAACAGAATGCATGGATGTTTTCCAAAGTTATTCCTTTGTGTCCATTTCTTTTTGGTGTGTCTGTAGCAGGCTGATTCATTGTCTAAACGACTTTACATCACCCCAGTACCAAGTTTAACTGAAGGCAGTAACTTATTATCATTTCTATTTGCTCATTGAAAATTCTATTTCCTCTACAAGTTTGAAAAAAAGACTTTTCACATTTCTCCAGTATAACAAAACCATTTTCTACAATAACAGTTCTTAAACTCTGTTTCTGGCAAACCTTCTTTGAAAGTCCCAATGCCACTTTCATTTACACATGTGACTTCAAGTGAGCCAAAAGTTTATATGCTAGTGCTCTAAACCTTAATACTTTAAGGAAACTAAAAGGGAACAATACTGATCCGAAAGCAGCACAGGGAAGGCACAACTCACTTCCCCCACAATCCCCTCCTCTATCGCATGCCTTCCCTTTACTGTATCTCATGACTTAGTTAATCCCTCGATTTCTGTACGGCAGCTAGGCAGAAAACTACAGTCTCTCTTGCTGAGAACAAATGCTGGCATACTTCATGATTATTTTAAACTGTAAAAAGCCAGTACTGCTGCCAAAAAAAAAGCTGCAAGGTAAGACCAACTGGGGAAACAATCTAGGTCAAAACAAACTTCTTCCTTCTTGTCAGATCAGTTTTAACTCAGATTAATTGTTGATCTTGGTATCGAATTTTATTGCTATGAATGCAGAACCATTTCTTTCTCCAGCAGTGAAGGCTTAAAGCAATATCACGTACGTAGCTTGAGAACATTATATTTAAATAAAGTTGAGGTCTTTGTTTCATTTTACTTATAGTACTACCCTGAGCATCTGTCTGTCCAGTTGAAATGGCACTTGTTATAGAGGGGATTGTAAGAAAAGTGAAACTATAACAAAAAAACCTTAATATTTTCTAGTCTTTAGTAGTCTTTAGTACTGTAACTTGTATTCCTGCATGCATAGTGATCTAATGATGTAACTGTTGCACTAATCCCCGTTTTCTTATTAAGGAACATAGCAGGTGGACATGGGCACAAGCTATCACTTAGTCGTTAGACAAAATAATTAAGTGAAACAAAAGTGGTCCTGGTTCCCAGCAAATAATTGGGATAACTGTGGGATAAAAGAGACTCCTAAATAATTCTACTCCAGACAGCTCCGCCTTGGGAGGGCAAATGCGCCAAGCTACAGAGATAAGGAGGCACCAAGAGAGCAACAAGACCAGAGTCGAACAACGTGAAGGACATGATGTACGTGATCCTAGAACTGAGTTTGCACAGAAACAAATGTCAATCAGCGAACAGCGTGACAAAGAGGATGGGCCTTCATCTTGGGACCCCCAAAGACCACCCAAAGATGCTAACAGACATGTGTGAAAGATATTTACATATGCTAATTAGCTCTTGGAAAAGTAATAAATATGCTAAGTAGTTCTTAGGAATATAATGAATGTTTACATGTGTGATTGTATTTAACCTGAAGTAACAGGGTGTCTGGCGCGCACGTATGGAGGAGAAATCCCCCGTGTGCCCTGCGCTGCAGTAAAGAATCCCTGCTTAACAGTATACATTGCACTGTTAGGTTTTTTCTACCGGATCTTTGAATCACTTACCAGCTGCTACTTACTAGTCTGTTATCTAATGCTTATAAACGTAGGTCTTCACTTGACAACCCACCTGTTTTGTCGATTTTTTAGTTCCATTAAATATCTTCCAGGCAAGACCATTACCACCACTGGCAATATGTCGGCCAACATCAAATTCCCTGGTAACAGGATTTCCCATGACTGCACTGGTGACATCAGCCGTTACCTTTGTAACGGTACTCTTCAATTTATTCAGCATGGACTCCATTGTCTCAACTGTACATCAATATATTATCCTATGAAGACAAGAAAAAAAAAAAGCTTCACAGTCCTCTCACAATTTCTGTTAACACAAGAAACATGTTGAAAATTATAATATTAAAGGACATCTAATCAAGGATCCATCAGGATATAGGAGTAACCCACAACACGAATACTGAAAGAAAATTTCCAGGGCTTTGCAGTTATACATATTCATACTGCATACACATATCTGTGTGTGCATGCCTGGGGAGTTGCTTCTACTCTTCCTCAAAACTTTTGAACCTGTTAATCATTCTTCATTAGATCTAACAAAGAAATTAAGGACTGAGAAATTCAACCATTTCTTGAAAACAGGTGACCGAATAAAGCAGAGAATCTATAAACTGTTCCCGTGAAGAGAAAGGTTCATGCCTTGTGTATCACTATCAATCAACAAAGAGAACCAAATGTGAAGGAAACCAGGCTCCTTTAATCACAGTGCTCATGGAACACCAAGTATTTTCTGAAGGGAAGGATTCCTTAAGGTCCCAGACCAGCGAAAGAACAGATGTGTATTATACAGAAGTAAAAAATGTGTTCTTTCCTACACTGTGCTTGTCAAAATACAAGCTCAAATTTCAGTATTTTACCCATCAAATTACTGACATTACTAATGAGCTAATCAGCTGCTACAGCTGTAGGAAACAAGAAACCATCTTTTTATGCTTTATTTAAAAAAAAAAAATGTACAAGAAAGTTTTTCACATAATTTTGCAAACTTTAGAGCTAAAAGACTGTGGCATCTTACAGTTCAGTTCATCTCTCCCTGCACTGTGTACTTTCACAGTTTCCTAAATTGTTGCAATTAGTTCAAAAAAATCTAACTTGCCTATTTTGCCAGATAGTAGTTCTGAAGCCTATGTCCCATTTATACAACTGTCTCTCTGATAAGGGATACACCAGAAATAATGAAGACAGGAAACAAACAATGAAAAAAAAGAGATACACATTCATCTTCCTAATCGGTGTGAACAAAGATGAAGTGAGAATGCAAGAAGAAATTATTTCCTGGTATTATGGAGTATATTCAAAAGCAATATTTAAGGATATTTCTTCATTCTCTCTTTCAAATGAGGTGTGAAGAGTACTATTTCTTCAACCTATGTTGAAAAGTACTGAAATCTGCAGAAATCCTATTTTCAATTATGGCCTTATTTTGTCAACTCTTTGGCATATAATTTGTGTAAAACTACTTCTTTGAAAAATAGAGAACGTCATTCCTATTCAAACGGAAGAAACAAGATTCTGTTGTGATAAAGAAGATGTTTGCCAAGTCATGGTAACAAGGACGAAAGAAACAAAAGGCACTAACAAATAATCCAGTGAGCACTCGGACTAATCAGCCCCAACACCCTTCTGACTGGAAGTGAAGTGCTCGCTTGTACAAATTAAAGCTCTTCCCACTGTACTATACACATTTATAAGGCAACGTTCTGGTCTACAGAAATTACCTGATGTCTATCAATATATGCATTTATACCACAGCTTTTTCCACATTCAAGACACAGATGGAGTCTGTTTCCTCTTCACAGCTCCTTAGTCTCATAAAACCTGTAGCAACTTGTTTCTGACACCTGTATACCTCAGTAAAACTTGACTGAAATCAACCACACTGAAGTTATTTAGACCTGCACACCTTCTCCCCCTGGTACCATAGATCTGATTCTACTGGAAATCAGGACAAATAATCTGATTAGCATTAATTTGGAGAGATAAACTTGTTTTCTAAAAGAGGTAATAAACATACTAAATAAACTCCAAAAGTTATATGAGGTAGTGAACAATTCACTCCAGTGTAGATGTGTGTAAAGGTATTAACCTAGTCCGAATCAAACACTAGCACAGTGCTGGAAGCAACACAGCTATGCTGCTCTATTTTGACTATTGTTGCAGTTATATCCCACGTTCAGTATGCTTCCATAGTGAAATATAGAAATACAGTAATGCTGTGGCTCCACAGATATTTCTCCAACTTCCATGTCAGCTGAGTGACACAACTTTGTGCTACTAAATGAAGAACCAGACTAAGGGTTTTAAGAAAATATACCATAACAAAGAAAGGTATCCAGCTGCGCAGATCTTGATCTTGCAAATACTCCACTTTAAAATCAGAAATAGTAGTTCTGACTTCAACGGGACTACTTAGGAGCAGAACCAGATATGACTACAAGCACGTTCAAGGTGGAGTCAGTCTTAATTACAGGGATTGTGAGTTTTAGATACAAGAAGCTGAGTCTGAATACAATGAGATAATCTTAAGAATAATTATGTACTTGCTTGGTAAGTATTCAGTGTTTTGTTAAGAACATACCTGGAAATAAATTACAGTAACATGGAATACCTTTTTAAAGTAATTTTATTATAGTATGTGACACTGTATTATAATATACAAATTTTAAATTACGAATTTTGCTATGGAAGAATGCATGCAACTCTCAACTGTACATTCCAAGACCAAACAGCTATCAGACAGTAGCTAATCCCTCTGTAAAAAGGAACTTTTCATTAAACTCATAAATAGGTAGAAACAATGATCATGGAGTATTCTGAATAGGAGCTGTAGGTATTTCCAGCTCTCAGAGATTTCATTCTGCAGCTATTCCACTGGACAAACTCTATATGCTAAAGGCCTATAAAATCAATTCTAATGAGTTTAACATAACCACAAATATAATTTATTTCTTTAAGTCTCATGCTTTTTGTATTCTTTCTTTAACACCCAGCCATCAAACCTCTAGTATCAATGCAACACAACCTTGCATTAGAATTCTCAAAACTAGAGGGATGCTTCACAACATTAAGTGCAGAGCTAGTATGAAGAAAATGCACGTGCAGATGCACGTTCAAATTCCTTTGTATAAAACTGAAAGGGAGCTTCTCTATACAGACGCTGGAAAAATGGTGTAGCGTTGCTTAAACCATAAGTGCCCTCTGCTGTGGGCAACAGGCTAACTGCAGTGAGAAGCCTGGAAAAGCCACTAGGTGAGAATGTCAACAGCATTCCAGTGGCTGAAGGGTTAGGATTTAAAAAGCAAGCCTGGTAGGCCCTGTCCAACCTGTTCCTCTCCAGCTTGACAGCATGCAAACTACTGATTAATTTAGCTAACAGTATGAAGTACTGAGAAACTTACTTCTCAATAAGCAGTCCGGGGTTTAAGTTTACATCCACCCATAAATTTGTAGAAATCCTAATGTCAATATTTGGACAGTAATCTAAAATACCATAGTCTGCTTTATAAAAATGATTACTATTATCAACTCCAGCAGTAAAATCTCAATGTACGTCTACAGGAGCAATGTACCTAGAAAATTCATGCCAAAAAATGAATATCTATTTTGGGTAGTACGCCACAATACCACAAAACACGATGATTTAACCATACGTGAAATTTGCAACTTTAGTTCTCAGCTGTACAAAAACTGGTTTGTTCAGTTTTTGTAAGACTGAACTACTACTTACAGAAAAATTAACAACCATGGGACAATAAATTAGCAAGCGTCACCCACAACGAAACTTTCATTTCAAGTTAAAAGGTAACAAATGAGAAAAGAACAAGATCTTAAGAGTAACAGTGCTCAGACAAGCAATACAGGACATGCAGTAAGTGTTTAAGAACTTCGATTTCTTCCTGTTTGAATTTCAAGAGTAATATTAATGCTACTGATACCAAGTCCATGAAACCTTAAACCAATCCTAAAAAGAAATCCGGATGGTCAGTGTGCTGTTTCCAGGAATTCCCCTCACAACCGACAACGGTCTTTATGCTGATGTACATCAGCAACAATACCTCAGCACGATGACGACCTAATCACTCGGCGAGGTAGTAAGCAACAGCCAACACAGCAATAAGAAACGAGGCAAAACATTCAAAATGTTGAAACAAAAGTAAATCCAAAACAAAGTTTCCGCAGCACTCTTTAATTTTCAGTAATGTCAAACAACTGCATGATTTAAAACTATTAATTTATCCCTGAACTAATTCACAGCGTCATCTGACATACGGACACGGGTGCACACTGTGTCCATGCTCTACCAGAATTCTGACCTCTACCCAGCCGAGGTTTGCTTCTGTGAACCCGGGCAGCAGGCAGGTGCATGGGTACCTCATGCCAACCAGCCCAAACTCCCATCCCACCGACCTGACCCCCAAATAAAAAAAACAAGCAGACCAAAAATTTTGGGCCCAGGCAAGCTTTTGCATATTTTACAAAAACAGCAAGCGGGTCAAACGCAGCGACGCACGGCGTGGCTGCCCTTAGAGCAAGCCACTTTCGTGATTTTTATTCTGCATTTCGGTACCGAGCTGCAACCAAAACCCTACGGAAAACCCACGGGACGAGACCCACGCAGGGGGATCTGCCTGTCGCCTGCTGACACCGAAACCTCACCC